ATAAATCTATCTAAATTTTTTAAAAAGGTTAAAGAATCCATTAACAACAGTATTTGTGGTTCCTGGATCAGGCAAAAATCATGACAAAGTTTGGGAGACACTAAATTAAGCAATTCATATGAATGGCCATGTGATGTTCTGACATCGACCATGATACAGGTTGCAAGTCATGTGCATTAGAGGCAAGCTATCATCTCTTTAGCACTGTGCCTACCTTTGGATTGTTGCCCGACACTCATCTGATTCCCAGTTTGTGGGGACAGAGGAATTTTGTGGGACTATCAGCCACAAGTAACTGTGTTAGGGTTAGGTGCTTGGGATGAAGCCTGATGTGGCAGAGAATTTACCCTGAAGAGTTAAAAGGAAGCTGGCTTTCAGAGTAGAGGAAGGAACCATTGGGTCTGGGGAGTGAGGCTGACTTTGTAATCCAGAGGCAAGGCAAGGGGTTAGATGCTATGATCCAGAAATCAGCATTGGTCTACAAGTGGAGTCTGAAGCACCTTAGGGTGGTTCAGCGTTGGTCCAATCAACAACCTGGGTGGGACTGAACATTTTACGATGCTAGCAGATTGTAAACTTTTCTTCAGGTTCCTGAACACATCAGAAAGAAACTATTATATAATGGAAGCGAGCCTAGCCCAGGCATAGAGTACAGGAGATAAGACGAAACTGCCTTGTGGACTATTCTATTCTCAAGCGTACAATTATAGAATATCAGGTTTGAATGAGGGATGAGAAGAACTTAAATATACGACTTAAAGGTACTTAAAGGTATCAATATCTTATGTACACTTTTGTACCAAAATATATTTCCAATTGTACAATAAAATTGAATGGGGAAAAAGATTCACTAAACAGAAAGATGGTTTATAGAAAATTTTAGTATGCTGCATTGCGTTAGTAATATATGCCTTCACCACTACTTTATAAAGAATGTAAAGGCTGAAAAAGCAATGGGATATCAATTAAATGAGCAAAGAAACAACTTAGATCCCAAGAGTTCTCAAGTATTTTCTTTACAATGGAGATTAATTTTTTACACATAAAAAAGGCTTTTACCAAATGCCAAATAACCTGTCTTCTACCAAACAAAAGACTAATTCTGAAATTTTAATTTTTTTGCTTGGATTGACTTTAGAATTTTTCTTTTCTTGTCTTGTGTTCACATATAGCAACATGATCAAATATACTTTCAGGTTTAGATTCAGTAATGAATAAATAAATAAATCTCTACATTGCATAGGTTGGTACTAAGCTAAGGCCATACACACACAAGCTTTTGTGCCTTTGACATTCTCTAGTTGTTTGCTAATAAACTTGACCATAAGGGTAGTATCATATACTGGACTTTCTAGGTGATGGTGATGAGGATTTTAGGCTGGTTACCTTTAAAACTGCAGATGAGAAGCAGGCTCCGAGGACTGGAATTTTGCTTGCCCTTTTGAGAGACATTTGCATTTGTGAAGTAAGGGGGGATAAACTTGTAGGGACCTGAAATTGGCCACCCCAGGATATGTCTCTTTGGCATTGGGATTGTTTGGGGCTGATTGCTTTTGACAAACTGGGACAGGGAAGGAGGCTCTGAGGAATGGAACTTGCCCTTGTTGGGACACATTTACATTTGTAAGGTAAATCTCTATCTGTAAAAGGTGCCTCCCTCTCTGTACCAGGAAGAAGAAGAAGAGAGATGACCTTGTCCCTAGAAACTCTTAATAGGGAAGGCAAGAACTTAATTTGGTTGCTGTCTGGCAATCTCATGTAACTGATTTAGGGTGGTGGCTTTTGACCTTTACTTAATCCGATTTGATTCTTGTCTAAAAGTCATGGGATCACCCAATGTCCAGACCCCACCTGCACTGATACCATTTTAACTTTTTTTCATGTTCTTTCCTTTGTCTTGTAAAGAAATGACTCACATACCCATGCCTTATAAAATTAGCCCTAACCCTCAGCTCGGGGCAGCAGCAGCGGCTCTGCCTGCCCATGGGTCCTGTCCCCATGCCAGCGGGGGCAGCTGAAGCGGCAGCAGCAGAAGCTCTGACTGCTCATGGGTCCTGTCCCCATGCTACACTATTCTCTAAATAAAAGAGCACTACTGCCAGATCTTGAGAATCCAAGAAATCTTTCTTTTGACTCCTCGGCTCACCGACCCCGCATCAATGGTACTTACGAGAGAGAGAGAGAACAGAAAAAAAATCTAAGCTGTGTGTAAGCATTTAAAATAAATTTATACTTTAATTAAAAATTCTTCAAATTGATCATAATTAACAAGTAAATTAATGGTTAGTAGAGGATATCTGTAGTGTAATTAAGCTTTGAAAAAGATACGCACAGATTCTCTTCTGACAACCTCCTGCATGCCATAACTAAAGACCCCAACATGACTAATGATTTGTTGCAGCAAAGAAAAACAATTAGCAAATTAATAAATATAGTTTAATTTGCACTTCTATTTTAAGGTTTAATTTGCCTTTATTTTTTTTTTAATATTTTATTTTTTTCCCTTTTCTCCCCAAAGCCCCCCGGTACATAGTTGTATATTCTTCGCTGTGGGTCCTTCTAGTTGTGGCATGTGGGATGCTGCCTCAGCGTGGTTTGATGAGCAGTGCCATGTCCGCGCCCAGGATTCGAACCGACAAAACACTGGGCTGCCTGCAGCGGAGCGCACGAACTTAACCACTAGGCCACGGGGCCAGCCCCTAATTTGCCTTTAAGGAGCTAAAAAGTATCCTCACGCCCCAATCTACTTAGAGGCCATTAGGAAATGAAAATATTTGCATTTCTTCAGTTTTTCCTTTTGCCTAGATAAATTTTTAAGTTCACTCAGCTATTAAGGTAATACGAAACGATTGGCTTTGTGTCATTGTTGTTTTTTAAATAAAAAGTTTTGCCTATTCTGGAATTAGCCATGGGTCTTCAGTATCTTGAATTCAATAATAACATTTTTAAAAAATCCTCCTTAAAAAGGCAAACCAGGAGGTAGTTTAAGAATACTTCCAATGAGATTAACATAGAACTTCCTGACCCTTAGAGCTGGGGTAGGAAAGCTCAACTCAGTGAAATTTGCATACATTAATAGCCTAGGTGGGGTTTTGCTTTGTTTGTGACTGGTAGCCTTTGGGAAATGATACTTAACTATTTTATGTTTTATTAATAAACTATTGTTTTGTCTTACTAATTTTACATCTTGAAGTAAGTGCTTGAATCAGAAACAGCATACTTCCCACCAAACTCTTGCCCAAATAAAATCCCAAGATACGGATCTATATTCCAGAGCACTTTTAAGAGCTACCAAATAGACCATAACATGCTTGGGAAACAGTAAGGGTAAACTGTCAAATTTTCCAGCTAGACAGAGCTGCTGAAGGCGATCCTCAAATCCTTTCTTTTACTATAAATGCTGTATTCTGGAGTTTTTAAAGTGGATAAGAATTTTGTTATTTTAGTACTGAGTTCTTCAGCTCCTAACGCCATCATTATTCAAAGGTCTGATAGTGCATTTTATGCACGTTACACTCATTTTCTATTTCTACAATATTTTCAGAGGAAATATTTTTACCCTAACTTGGGTTCTACTACCATCCTAGTAATTGCAGTTCAGAAAATTCAGTGGTTTCCTAACCACATTCTACTCAATTATTTCATTTCCCAATATGATAGGCTGCAAGGTAGACTACTGGAGAATAAGAAAAGCTTAATTGTTCACTGCTGTACCCCAGCATCTAGAACAATGCCTGACCCAGGATAGCTGTATAACATTTGCTGAAGGAATCCTAATCCTGCTGCTAAGCAAAATTACGTAAATCAATTAGTCCCTTGGGGACTCGGTCTAGATGATCCCTCAAGTTCCATTCAATAGTAAACTTTATGACTTATCTTATTTTGGTTCTAAATGCTCTAAAAAATAGTGGATGAAAGCAATGCAGTGTTTAGAAAGTATCAATTGGTGGAGGTTGCAGATAGCTCAAAAGATGTTAGTATCTGTTACAAATCGAGTGTGCACGTGGTGTCATACAAGTTAAAAAGCCTTTTTTTAATGATTATGATAAAGTCTTTTTTTGAACACGTGACCTCAAAAGATGGCTTAAATATGTCATTACCATCATTGTATCGCCAGTGCCTAGAACAATGATTGGCTCATTGTGACTACTCAATAAATATCAGTTGAATTAATTGTGTAATATTAACATTCCTTTTGAACTCTAGAAGCAGCTAGGTCTTCCTTCACTCATCCTTAGAAAGCGATGGAACAGGACCCAGAAATCCCTTAAAAGGTGAGGACGAGTAACAAGGCTGAACTAGGCTCAGAGGCGGTCCCAGAGAGGCTTAAAGCATTGAAGGAAAGGGAAGAGGACCCAAAACACGCGTGAGATAAAAAACAACACAAAGCGACAAAAACACAAGCATAAGAAAAAAGACCTTTCTACAGTGAGGTTGGCAGGAAGCCACCGCAGCCACTGCAGGTCAACCCTTGTCACCAGGCGGTGACCTCGAGCTGAGATCTCGGTTAACTACCACCAAAGCCCTCGGCTACGCAGACCTCACTTTCAAAAGGTTCTTATCAATACTGACAAGCCCAAGTTCATCCGAGTTCCTTAGAAAGAGAAACCACAAGCGCTAATTCTCCACCTATCCTCCATTCCATTCAAATAACGCAGCCAATAGGAAAACCCTCCGCCCTGAGCAAACGGCTCGGCGGAACTGAGACAGCCCCGGGGCCAGGTCTGCCCTGTCGAGACGCCGTACAGCGCGAATGGGGCCTCCGGAACCCTAGGTGCCCTCAGCCCGGCGGGACAACCTTCCTCCCCTGTCTCCGCCCTCCCAGGTTCGTCCCAGTCCCCGCAAACCGGGCGGCCGGGACCACACCCACTTCCCTCCGGTGGCCGGGCCGCCCCCGCCGCAGTTCGCGGGAGCGCTCTTCCTGGGGCGGGCGCAGGCCCAGGGCGCATGCGCACTGGCCGAAGGGCGCCTCCCTGCCCGGATCTCGCGAAGTTACGTTAGATTGGCCGCCGGTGACGGGTGGCCGGGCCGGGGGCGGGAGGGCTTCTGTGGTAGGAAGGGAGGTCCGCTCGGCCGGGCGCGCCGCCCCAGTGCTCTGTGGGATACTGGAAGTCTCGAGCGTCTCCTCCCGGTTCCCAGCCCTCCTCTGGCCCGCACTCATAGAAACAGTCACACACCCCCTGCCTCCCCTCTCTTCCCTCTCCGCCTCCCCCTTCCCCCCTCGCGATAAGAAGACCCGGCGGCAGGAGAGGGGATGAAGATGGCGGACGCGAAGCAGAAGCGGAACGAGCAGCTGAAGCGCTGGATCGGCTCCGAGACGGACCTCGAGCCTCCCGTGGTGAAGCGCCAGAAGACCAAGGTGAAGTTCGACGATGGCGCCGTCTTCCTGGCTGCTTGCTCCAGTGGCGACACGGACGAGGTCCTCAAGCTGCTGCACCGCGGCGCCGACATCAATTACGCCAATGTGGACGGACTCACCGCCCTGCACCAGGTCTGTGCGCCCGCCGCCGGCTCTCGGACCCCGCGGGTGCTCGTCGGCCGCCTGCCGGGGCCTCCCCGCCGCCCTCGGCCTCCTGGGGCTGGGGGCGGCGGCAGACTCCCTGCTGCGGGGTGAGGGGGCGGCTTCCCGCGACGGAGGGAGGGAGAGAAGTGGTGGAGGCGGCGCTGGGCTGGAGGCCCCCTTCAGACCAGTTGGTGGTGGAGTTGGGAACCGGCTGATTTCCGGGGTAGAGGAGAAAGGGGACTCTGGTCGGCTTGGGCCCCAGGGCCATTTGTGGACGTGTGTCTGGGATTTGGGGTCGAGATGAGGAGGGGTGTACTGGGGTTGTGCCCGGGTCCCGATGTCAGTGATATAGGTGGAGAACGGGAAATGCAGGAAGAAGACGACCCAAAGGGACATTAGGGACACTTGGGCAGATGGACGTCTTTGGCTTGTAGGTGGGCATTGGATTTGTTGTAGTTTTTAGGACTTGATTACAAATGATGATGATAATAGTAATCAAGAGCCCTAAGCCGAGTGCTCTGAGCGGGCGATTTCCTGTTTTCTCCTTTATTACTCTTGGTCACTGGGGAGGGGAAAACGGGGTGTAATTAGCCGATCTGCACTGGCTGAAAGGGAGGGGATGGAAATGGGTAGGGTAAGGAAGCGTTCAAAAGGGCTTGCCCACCGCCAGACCGGAACGTCCTGCAGACTCCTTGCTCGGGGAAGAGTTGCCGCAGTGTCAGATCCTTGAGCCCCGGGTTCTGGGGTGTGCTCTGGGGTTAAAAAGAGAAGAATAAACACGGGGCATTCTTTTCAAAGCCGGTTACCAAGCTCTAATTTGTCTTTTGGGGGTGGGAAAAAAGAAAGCTGGTCACAAACTTTTCTCAAAATGGATGCTTTGTGCATGTTAAAGTTTTATAGTAGTCTGATTGGGATCTCTCAATGTTAGCCAAATAAGGAGAAACTATTGGCAATCCAGAGATAATGTTGCTTTGCCTTTAACAGGCCAAAAGCAACACAACCACGGAGGGCTCTGCATAAAAAGCAATTTTTAAATGATGGTAATTGTGACTAGACAGACTCTTTGCATTTCTTAGTGAGCAACTGGAATTGCTAGAAAACGATTTTACAGCAACAGCTTCCCCTTACAATGAAAAGACTTGTAAACTATATGCCTTGGTTAAATGTGGAAGATCTTAGCTTTATTTTCATTAATACTGTAACAAAAACTTGTTTGGGAGGTTGAAACTTAAGGCTTTGTATTTCATGCATATTCCCTTGCTGCCTTTTTAAAAGAGAGAAGTGTGGTGGCATTTTTCTTTTTACTGCTTCCTGTTTGGTGAATGATGACTGTTTTAAGTTTTATTCAATTCAATTTTCATATAAAAGTTGGCTTATAGCCCTTGTTTGCTAAGTTCACAGGATGAGCTGAAATGACTGGACATTGAAATCAAAATTTGTCCCGAAAGTGCAGGACAAATCTGGAATTCAGAATGTGGCAAATATAGCATGGTCTTTAGCTCTTTCTCTATTCCCTTTAGTGTCTCTACTGTATAGCAGACTTTTTATTGGCTGAGCTTTATTTTAAAGCATAGCATAACTCTAGATTCTAAAAACATGGTGTTGAGAATGAAAGGAACTTCTGGCATTAAAAATGATAATTATGTAAGATGAATCTTTTCAAATTTCTTTTAAGTTGTAGTTTGCACGTTTTAGCATAGAATTGATTCTGAAAGATAGTTATTGTATGCTTGAGGTCAGAATACAATTGGATGATGGTTTACATCAATATGTTTTATTAAAATTGTCAAATAGAAATTTGAAGTTTATTAGTGTTGTGGAGGAACCCAATTGCATTGGTTTGGAGGAAAAGGATAATTTCTAGAACTTGTATTAATTATTATTGGCTTAGGTAGGAAGAGAAAATACTACACATAAGAGACTTAAGGTTTTTTTCCCTCTCAGTTTGGACGTGTTGCAAGAATTATCATACTTCTCGATGTCTTCCTGATTAACTGAATGCAGTGGTTAGTTTGGCATTATAGAAGTGTAGCGTTTATTGGGTATTTTGTTTTAGCTGACAAGTGCTTAATCAGAAGTTCCCAGGTTTATGCACAATCATTTGCATAATATCTTTGTGTAATTTATCTGCACATTCCTTAAGTCAGTGAAGCCCAAGTCTTTAAAATATCAAGCATTAAAATTTTATTTTGTTTTCTCCACTCTCATTTCTCATTTATTACCTCTCGTACTTTTTTCCCCGTTGTGGCTGAGAACCAGGAGTTCGCTTTAGGCAAATTCAGGACAACAGATAATGAAAGATGATAAAACTTTTTCAAAAAGATCACAAGAAAATTTTAAGCTTTTAAGAAATCTCTTAAATGCTGCTTGTTTTAAATACTTAAATTATAAAACCTATAATTGACCCACTGATTTGTTTAATAGCCCTTGAATAGTTTTTTTATTTAACCTCTGGAAAGTTCATAGAATACCTGAAATGTTTTTACCAGATTACTTATTGGTTAGTCTTTTGGAATATTCATTTACTTTTTTGGTTTTGATCAAGTGTCCTAAATTTCACTGTCAGGAGAAAAGTTTTAGAAGCTTCACAACCCACAAATATACTTCTTAATATAATATTTTACTTCCATTTTTAATATAAGCACCTTTTATTTAAAAGTTAATTAATTTTTTATGCTCTTTCATTAGAAGTTAGAAAAGATACTCACTTTTCTGCTATTCTTTTTGTATAGAAATATGTCATCCAAATAGGAGAAAAAGCAGTATTTCTTGTCAAATTTCCTATCTTGGTCTCAGCTCTGATTTTATAGCTACCTGGTAGTTTTATACTATGTGATCTGTATCTGTATTTCAGGATACTTTATAAAGATTTTAAGAGAGTTATAATAGAGTTTTCTGTAGAATGCCTTATTGCTGATTCTTACTGATACTGGGTGTGCATGAAATGCAGGACTGAGATTTCTTTCAACAATTTTGAGTTTACCCTTTTGATTTTACCTTGAAATCTTATCTAATTCCTCTATGCCAGTGACTTCCAAGTTGATTTCCACTTCTCACGTTTCTGCAGAGGTCCAATCCGTTATTTCCAATTTTCTGCTGATGAACAAGTATTGATTTAAAATGAAATATTATTCAGTAATTGTGATTTTATATTTAAAAATATGTCTTTAAGTAGTAATAGGGACTCACTTCCTTTGCCATAGACTAGCAACTACTGTATTTACATTTACCTTTGTGATTTCTTCAAAGGATTCTTATTATTCAAACATGGATTTTCATAGTTGTAATTCAGTTTTAGAATCTACTTTTATCACTTAGCATTAGTTTACATATATCTGTATTTTTTCATATCTGTAGACTTTATCAGTATCCTTTTTTCGGTCGTATTATTGCTTCTGTTAGACAGGTTTACATCAATGTTAGGAATTTCTTTAAATTCGACCTAAATGAAACTTACATCTTTCTTCACCAAGCCTTTTCTTCTCATTGATGCCTCTGTTTCTGTTAATGATGTCATTAATCTCTAGATCAAGCTTTAAACATTTTAATTAGTTTACTCATCCCTTTGTCTACATATATCCGTCATTCTTCTTCACAATTGCCTTTGCATCAATTCTTTTCCTTGCCAATCTCATTTTCAACCTAGTTCATACCTTTATATTTTTATCCCTAGAGTATAGTAATAGCTTAATTGCTTTTCCTGCCTCTTCTCTCCCTGGTCCAATCCAGCATTCATAGTGTTATCACATTAATCTTTTAACAATATCACTTTGATTGTGTCACTCCTCTCCTTCAATTCAGATTTAAAGTATTTCACCATTTAACTTATACTTGATATATCTCCCTTGTGTTATATCCTTTACTCTTTACATTTTTGTGTCCATGCCTATGGCGATGCTTTTTCTGTCACTACAGTATCCTCCCTCCCTTCTTTGCCAATCAAAATCCTAGTCATTCTTCAGAGTTCAACTCAGTTGACAGCCTGAAGGGATCTTCTGTCCTTTGAATTTGTATAATAGTATGGCAGGGAGAGATACTCTCTCCTCTGGGGTGCTCACTGTACCTTCTATTTTGCATTTCTGCTGCTATTAAAACATTTCTTAGTGAATGATGTTTGTAAGTTTGTCTTTCCTGGCTTGCTGTAAGGACTCCATCTTCTACTTTTTTGTATTTCCAGAGCCTGGCACATAGTAGGTACTCACTAAAGATTTATTGAATTGTATCTTTTACCTTGTATTGTAGATATGAAGTTTTACAGTTATTTGTATCTTGTGAGATAAATCTTAAAACTTTCACGTACGGATATCAAGAGTGTTGTTCTCATACATAGTAGAGCTTGTATGTTTATAAAATAAATGAAAAACTTTGTTTTGGATCTTCTGTGCAGATTTTTTTAATATCTTGAGATTTTAAAAAATTCTTTTTTTTTTTCCGCTTTTTTTGCCCAAAGCCCTGCAGTATATAGTTGTGTGTTTTAGTTGTGGGTCCTTCTAGTTGTGGCACGTGGGATGCCGCCTCAGCGTGGCCTGACGAGTGGTGCTATGTCTGCGCTCAGGATTTGAACCAGCGAAACCCTGGGCTGCTGCAGTGGAACGAGAGAAGTTAACCACTCGGCCACGGGGCTGGCCCCTAAAAAATTCTTAATGTTAACCTCTTTCCTATTAAGAATCCTAAACCAGTTTAAATCTTGGTTAAGTGATAGAAAAATATTCAGTTGAGTCATTAATTAATTTGCCAGCTTCGTTATAAGGCTCTGAATTAGGTCCTGTAGAGGAATACAAAGTAGAATTAAATCCATGTTCTATGCTATTATAATTTTAAAATAAAGTTTTCTTTTTGCTTTTCAGTACAGACAGACTTGTAGGTAAATTTATTATTAAATCCTTTTGCTCTTAAAAATATAAATTTGATCAACTTCTAAGGGAGCCATTTGAAGCTTCTCTCTAAAAAATATGCGACTCCCCTCTTGTCAGTAAAAGGACTACTTT